TTAGCCACTATGCGGTTGGTGGTGGGGCTTCAGAGTGAACCCGTAGTTGTTCCATCGCCCTTCTTTCTCCTAATGCGTCACGTCACACACAAGATCACGTGATGGCGGTCTCGTTCATCCGGCCTCGATTGCCGCAAGCAACGTCAACGCTCGATCTCCCATGGCCGCTTACTTGCGCACACACTAACATAACGTACCCCATCTCTTCGTTAATCCGCCAACGACAATGATGAGCGCCTGCCAACCCTTTGTATATTCCTAATCGAAAACGGTACGCAAATGAAACCGTGGCGAGTCTTAGGAGTCATCATCCCAGGTGTGGTGTATGGCTGACTGACGAAGCTTGATAAGGCAGAAGTAGCCATTTCAGTCCCCGTCGTCTTTGCGGGCAATGCCATTCTGCCTACATATGTATTTATATGTTGAAACATCGGCATTGCACGAAATATAATAGGAATCAGGCGAGGTTCTTCGTGAACAAAGAAATGCTTATTGCAAAATTTTTTGTATTTGGCATCCAGGTTGTCTTCACAAAAATTGGAGTTCGACTAAAAATAGTTAACCTTAAGCGATGCGTTAGTAAAGATTCTATAATCAGTCAAAATGTTCGCCTTTATTGCAGGTTTTACTTGTATAGATTAAAGGATAAATCGCACATTTCTCCCGTCGTCGAGTGTAAAGCAAAACAAAATTATCGAACTTCATACGTATTTATTGAAAGATTTGCATGAGAAATGGGTAAACATCTTCATCCTCCGCTGACGTTCTATTGCTTTGAAGTCCAATGATATCCAAGAATCAGATATGCGCCGAACACTGCTGGAAACCTGTTAAGTCCCAGATTTAAAGAACAAATAGTTTAATAATATTTCGAGTTTTAAAAACTACCATATGTTGGGCAATTTTATGAATGTAATGTGACCGATGTTAAAATGCGTTAAGAAGCGTGGCAAAATTTTAAAATGTTTTGTTATTTCCCTCTCTGCAGGAGCCGAGTATGCCCCCCTTTAGGCCTGTACGTTTTCTGTCGATAGATCTTTTTCGTACTTTAATTTCACCGAAAAATAAGCTATCGAAAACGTATTCGGACTTCGGAAAACAACTGTTAAAGTTTGATTTTAATGAGTCGAGTGTCTCGAAGGCATTCATGGGGGCCTATGCCACTGTGGAACACCATTGGCCGAATTTTGGCAGAATACATAAAATTAGAGCTAACAAGTGGTGGCAAGAAGTCGTAAATATATTTTTCCTCTCTAGTCTTTTAAGATCATTTTAACCTTCCAGAACAGTTCGCCGATAAGTAAGGCTGATATCCGCCGTACTTTGACACTTGAACGGACGAATGACATTTACGACTGGTTCGCAGGATCAAAAGCTTGGGTCCTCATGCCTGGAACGCTTAGTGGTCTTGAAAGATTCGCGCAACTGGGAATTAATTTGTGCATTCTATCAAATTCCGACGAAAGGACTCCGACGATTGTTAAGAATTTGAACATCAACAGTTATTTCAAGGTAATAATTCAAAGTTTTTCAGATTTATAATCTATAACA